TTTCCCTATGTTGCCAATGTTTCCCTAAGTTCCCTATGTTTCCCTATGTTCTGTAGGTGTTCCTAAGTTTCCTATGTTTCCCTATGTTTCCCTAAGGTTTCCCTATGTTTCTCCATGTTTCCCTGTGTTCCTCTAAGGTTTCCCTATGTTCCTAAGTTCCCTATGTTTCCCTATGTTCCCTAGGTGTTCCTAAGTTCCCTATGTTTCCCTATGTTCCCCTAAGGCTTCCCTATGTTCCCCTGAGGTTTCCCTATGCTCCCCTAAGGTTTTTTCTGGGTTTCCCCCCTAGAGAATCCTGCCAAGCCTCCGAGGCTCCCCTTTCTCATGGAGGCGCCAACCACTTCTTTCAGGGGATATGTTTATATGAAGGTTATGTATGGTTGCGGCAAGAACACCAACTCCTCCATAAGCGTAGTGATTTGAGGGTCAACCCTTGGCTTTTCTCTTCCCATTCACATGGAATCTTAGTCTGTCCCTTCAAAGCACGGTTTTGTTCACCGGCGCTTTCCCCATTGGCCCTTTCTCGCGGAGGCGCCACCATGGACTGCATCTTCCGGCGCGCGATGCGCAGCGCGTTGCCGGAGCGGCGCTTCGCCAAAGTCGCCTTGGAGAGGCGCTCCTTGAGGAAGCCTGGAGAGGCTTGGAGGGCGTCTTTAGTGGACGTGAGGGAGACGTAGGGGCGTCTTGGGAATGGGGCATAGGGAAACATAGGGAAACATAGGGAAACATAGGGGAACAAGAGGAAACATATATAGGGAAACATGGAGAAACATGCGGAAATATGAGGGTTGGTGGTTTGGATTGGTGGTGTGGTTTAGGACGCGGTTCCATCAACCCTCTGCCAAGTTGAGGGCTCAAATCCCCGAACGAATCCAGACCACCAACTAAGGGTAACCTGATCAATCCGTGGAAATGAGGGAAGCATGGTGGAACATGAGGAAGCCTGGGGAAACATAGTTGAACACAGGGCAACCCAGAGAACACAGGGATGTTGCAGGGGATCGAGCTGAAGCAACCATAGGTGTGGCGTTCAATCTGAAGGACCAGACCCCGAACCAGAAATCTCGGGCTTCGGTCTTGCTTGGGGCTTATTTACCCCCTAGGGCCCTGTTTTCCTTGATTTGGCCCTTTATGCATTCGTTTTCGGGGTTTTCCTTAAGGGACATGGTCCAGAGGTCTGGTGGTACATGAACAAGCGTGTTCTCCATTGTCCAACATACCCACCTCAATTTGGGAGGCGATGCGCAGGTTGCTGTGAGTTCAGCCACCCAGCTGCTGTGCGCGGGAATTCTCCAAAGATCACCTCGTGATGGTAGACAGGACTCATTTTCCTTGAAGCCTCCCTATGGTTCAATAGGGGAAAAGAACATGACCTCAACAACAGAAATGTAACCTCAAATGCAACGGAACATGAAACCGGGCGGAGCTTGTTATCATGTTTGCACTTATTAGTCCCGGAAGACATCATCGTGCAATGAGTCGAAAAAAAGCCCTGTGGCCTCCCTGCCTGAGGGCTGTACATGCCAGCAATTGATGACTTGGATTTTCTCTCTGCTTAGTAGGTTGTTTTTTCAGACTTGAGTTGTCTTACAGTTATAACCTACAAACACTTCCCAAGTAGGAACTGGGCTCTTGTCTTAGCACCTGCCTTCGCGTTCCAGGAAGTCTCTCTGCATGGTGTCAAAGGCTTCCTTCACAATCGCGTGGTTCTGCTTCTCCGCTTCATATTTCCGCGAGAGCACCTCAGGCTGCCGGCTGCCAACTGGACTGCTAACCACATTCAAAGGGAAGGACCCACTGGTGGCATTTAAAAGGAAACCAAAAGAAGACCAACCATTGTGGTGGTCCCCCTATACCCTTCGAAAAGAAGCTTCCCCATGTGCAGGAAAGCATCTTAAAGTCCCATGGAAACAGCGATCGGTTGTCGAAAAGAACGATGGTTGAAAATAATGGGGAATCAACCCTTCGAAAACTACAGAGGGACCCCCAAACTGGTTGGTTTTTGTTTTGGTTTCCTTTCAAATGCCAACCAAACGTGGGTCCACCATTTTGAGAATTTCCCTAAAGAATCTGTTGATCCCTTGCAAAAGATAACCACTTTTAGAGGTATACATGAAATAAATCGCGGGAACGCAAAGTAAATATGAGGTAAGCAGGGGGACAGGTGGGAATCCCTGCAGAATAATCATTAAACAAATATATATATATATGTATATATATTATATAGACGGTTCTGTGGTTCCACGTGGTTCACTTGCAATATCTAGGGAAACCACCGGACATCAAACGTCAACCAGGCGCCAGGGTGCAATGTGTTGAAGCAGCCAGGCCGGAGGTATCTCCAAAGGGAGCCAAAACAAGGTTCTTTAAACAGGGGCCCCATTCGCCCCCAAGCTGTCAAGAACCAAACTTGCTTGCCGTTGGCCCCTCGGCAAAAGAAGTTTGACTCTTTGTGGGTTTGATGGAAAACCCCTTAATTTTCCGAAAAAGAAAAGAAACAAAGAGAGATTAAAGTCTAAAGATCCAGCCCACTAGCAGTCAAGCAAAGAAAGCCTGAAGCGGGGGGCTTGGCGGCTGAAGCGGCGGCCAGGCGATTACAAGTTTCCTGGTCCAATCCGGGGGATTCAACCGGAGATGTCGTTGCTCGGTGGCGAAATCTGCGAAGCCCTGCGAAAAGTTGATTTTCTTTTTGTTGTTGTTGCTTCTTATTCTTTCTTTTTTGTTTTTTTTTTTACTTTTAGTGGTTGAATACGGCAGACCCATTAGTTGGTAAAAAAAAAGAAGAAGGCCCTTTGTTTCTTTATTTTAGTGGTTGAATACGGCAAACCCATTAGTTGGGTAAAAAAAAAACATGAAGTCCTAACATCCCTTGGCAAAATGCGCCAAAGGTAGTCCATGCCCCCATTCCCCCCCCGTTCCAAGTCCAACTTGTGTCATAGTCCAACTTCCAAGCGGCAACGGCGATATAAGGACTACAAGGAGCTTGGTTTTAAGGAACAAAGGGATTTGTCCAGGTTTCAAGCCGGGTTCAGGTGGGTTTTGGTCAGGCGTGTCTTTTTGACCCAAGGGTAACTCTACAAGAGCCAGAGGTTCACACCTAACCATCAATCCAGACCTCTCCAAATTCCAGATCATGTCATGTTGTTCATTATTCTATGTTTGAATTGTTGGTGGTGCAGACTATTATAATTAAATGTGTGGTGGAGCAATATACTGAATATTATATTAATTGCAATATTTACAACTATACTAGTTGCTGTAATGACCAAATGAGTCACAATCAACACCTGGTATTAAACTGGTCTACCCAAAGCCATGTAAGGAAATACAAAGGCGGCAGCTGTTTCTGGCTGGTACTGTCCCTGACTAGCCTTCTACCCGAATCGGTTTTGAGCCAGTGGCCGAAGTTTCTTTGTTTGCCCGGGGAACTCTACAAACCCAGGGTTCAATCCTAACCATCAATCCAAACATATCAAACCACCAAATCAGGTTCCCACATTAAATAAGTTCCTTCAATGGGCTGTTCGTTTTCAGGTCCCTGCTGAAAGTGAATAACTTTTAGTGGGTTAAATGGAAACTACCACTGTACCAAAAAAACAACTCAGGAACAGAACCAAGAACAACCACCTAGAATCCTACGGCCCCGTTTTTGGCTTCTTGGGGCTTTTTTGGGACCCCAGGACCTCCAAACCGAGCTCCGAGTCGACGCCGAGTCTTTCAAAACGCCGCCGTCAAACGACGAGGCGCGCTCTCGTTCTGCTCCAGCGCAGCCACCCGCGCCATGGCCGCCATGAGCTCCTCCCGCAGCTCCGGGGCGCCGCCGGAGCTCAGCTGCTGCCTTCGGCCGCGACGGCCGCGACGGCCACGGCCAGGCGGCGACGTTTTGGGCGACGTGCGGCCGCGTTGGGCTGAGGAGCTGTTTTTTTCTTTGGTTTTTCTTTCCCGCACGTGGGATGTCTTCCATTTGTTTGGTGGCCCAGGAAAATCAAAGGTTTTTGCCCAGATGCACTGGATGTCTTCGGTTTAGGTGGCCCAAGAAGTTCAAATTCGTTTTTGGGCCAGGTTATGCAGAGGTGTTTTTTTTGATCGGTTTGAGAAAGACATAGAGGGGTTCCACTGAAATAGATTGGTTTTATGAACCACTTACCAGGGCAACCCATCTATTTTACCAAAAGGACACCCATGCACGTTGGGCGGCGAAAAAGGACCAGGCCACAGTTGTCTAGCCGCACCCTCCCCATTTTGTTTTGGGAGGGATCCTTCTCTTGGCCAAACCCTGAAAAACCGATTTGTGTGTGTGTGTGTTTTTTTTGTTTTTTTTACAGACAACGATGGGTGAAGAGAATGGGGAATCAAACCTTAGAACATGGGTTAACCTGAAATGGGTGTTGCTCAAAGTGAAAGAGGTGGGGCTTGCCCCGCAGGTTTCAGTCTTGGTTCCATCTACCATGCCGTGTTGCCATTTTTTGAGCAGCCAACTAGTAGTTGCCAAGGGTAATTAGGATCAAAATAAGTTAAACCCAGGCCTTACAACCTGGAACGGTTTACCGGGTAAGCCCGACACCAACCAAACGAGTGAAATGCAGACGAGGGGACAAGCTCTATGGCCGAATGGGTTCTGTTGGCAGACCAATGTTTGCGAGCCGAGGTGCCAAGTCTGCAGTTGGCTCTCCTGCACTTCACACTTCTTCAAGCTGTCCTCGGCACGAAGTGCTCGAAGTGATGCAACACATCATAAAGCTGCTGCATCCTCTTGGATGTTCAAACCCGGCATCCCAACCGGCCCAAAGCAAATCAAGGGTCCCAGGCGGTTCATGCTTCCAGTGGCATCCTGGCTCGCTTGCTGTATCAAAGCTGGTTCCAGGGCAACAAGCCCCGCCAGGCAAGAACCACCATCCCAGCGATCAAGGCAGATGAAATCTAAAAGTTTCTGCGCCATCGGCTCAAAAGGAATATGGGTCAAACATGCAGCTGAACAAGCTGGGAAGGTCTTCTGACAAATGGGCGTGTCCAACTAAGAATTGGACCCCGCAAACCGATTGCTTCTTTTTGGTGCGTCTGGAACTTCCCTCCCTGTGACGATGTTGGTAATTGTAAACTTTAAAAGGGGATTCCATTGGCATCGCAGAAACCAGCTTTCCACAACCGCGAGCACCCACCAAAGTTTGTCCCTGGGGTGAACCGCACCAACCGACTTTCACGCCCAAAGGCCGTGAGCAGGTTGCCCTGGATGCTCAAGCGCTCCTGCAGCTTGGGGGATATGGGGGGTGGGTGACTCAGCCTCTAATATCCATTTGGTTTCGCTTCAAAGGGGAGGGATTGGTTGTTTCAAACAAGTTCCCAATCCTGTAGGACTTTCCTGCCAAAAGGAAACCCACCATTTGGGAATCCTCGAATGAGACAAGCCCAAATAGGACGAGCCTCCAATTTGGATACAAACCAACCATATTGAACTAGGTGCGTCCTTTTTGAGGGTACCTTTTTGGTTGGGGGTTGCGAAGGGAAACGCAACGAACACCACTCCTTTTGGAGGTTCCAAAACGAGCACTCATATAAATCGGGCCAAAAACCTGATGTCTTGTGGCACCTCTGCAAGTGAGCAAACCCGTTGAGGTTCGTTCATTTGGAGACACCGCCCAATCGGGCCGTTTCGAGCAGTGGTCTTGGTCCGGCAAAAGAGGGCAACAGATGTCGCAACCAGGTCTAAGCTGGCAAGCGGAATTCCGGAAGGCGATCTGCCGAGTTCAAGAAACAAATCGGCTGAGGCAAACCCAAGGACCGGGACCCTGATTCTTTGGGAACCTCACTTGCCCCAACCTGGAACGGGCAACTGCCCGAGGCGATTAGATCACTGGAGCGAAGCTGTAAGACAAGAATTAGTACTTGAGGCCCCTTCCCTTTCGGTTGACAACAAACATGTTTGGAGTTGTTGAGTTTAGAGCGTGTCTTTGAGTGCATGTCGCCTGTCGCGGTGCTAACCGGCACTTGTGAGCCAACCGGGAGGTCTCAATGTTCGACTTTGTGGTTTTGGGAGATTTGCATCTGATTTTTTGGTCTATCGCCCTCGCCTCGGTTTGCTCCGGAGACCATACAAACTCCCTGAGAAGCAACGGAAATCTGCGCATCTCTGCCCCGATCTGGTCGAGTCGTGCAGCCATGTCGCATTGGTCAATATTCAGCCCTGCGATTGAAATCAGTTCAACCGACATGAGAAGGAAGGGCTATATGGGTATAGACCCATCAAAAACACATAGTTTGTGCCAAGCCAAACTCGGCCATGAATTACTCACTGACGGCAACCAAAAAGCTTGGGTCGATTTCATGTGCCCTCAAACCCATGTGTTTAATCCACGCTTGTTTTGCTCAATCCAGGAAATTAAACATATTGACCTTTCTCCGTGGTTGCCGAACCTCAATCTCTTAAATGTTCCCCCCCCCCCCCTCCAACTAATATAGCACCATGGGGTGAAGAGGAAACCAATCTTCCAGGTACCCTAGAGGTGCCATGTCAGTGGAAGGGAGGGCATGTGGCATGGTCAACAAAGCTTCCGCCGTGCCTCGAGGTCTTTCTTCTCAGAGAGCCACTGGTCCCTCCGTGCAAAGAAGTCCTGCGAAGGTCCAACTCGCGAGTGAACGTCCTGTGGGTCTGTCTCAAAGGGGGACCGCGACCTTTGGGGATTTAAAAGGAAACCAAGATAGGTGATATGTTGGACAAATCTCGATGGGGTTCTCTGGGAAATGATTATAAAACCAAGCTGAACCAGTGGAATCTACCAAGATAGGTGATCTTTTAAGAACTTTTGGAAACAAATCGATGGGCTTCTCTGGCAAATTAAGAACAAAACAAGGCAAACCAGTGGAACCCATCTACGTCTAACCAAACCAACCGATCAAAAGTGGGAGAAAAGCCCACTAGATCGATGCAGCGCTTCTCCCCCTTTAGTTTGGTAGTTGAGTTTAAAACGCCCCACCCCCCACCCGTAGGTCGGCAGGCCGGACTGGACGGGGCCGCCTCAAGTTGCAACCTCATCTGGCCGGTGATTGACCCACGGGGAGAGGGGATCTGCTGGTGGGTGATGCTTTCGGTTGATTTGCCGTGCCGATCAAGTAAAGTAAGCACCTCGCCAATAGAAAACTCGAAAAGTGCCAAGCAACTGACTCATGTGGAATCCCAACTGGTTTGCAAGGTGCAATCCTCGAGCCAATGTGACACGTCCGCAATCTCACAGTCGCAACGCCAACCATATCTGCAATTTCTAACCATTCAAACCCCTGAAATAGGGGATTCAATCCAAGGACCAACAAGGTGAGTTTTGGTGGTATCCCTTGAGGGCATAGGTGTCCTTTTTGGTTGTTTCGCTAGAAAGATAGATGGCGATTCCTGGTTTACCTGATGGTTTCATCATCTACCAGGGAAACCCATCTATTTCCCCTAATGTTAACCCCGGAGTAATAATCCCATGGTTGATTAATAGGCCACTGGTTTTGCCCCGACATCCTTGAGCTCCAAACCCATTCGGCAAATGAGATCGAAGGAACTCAGCGCATGCCAGCATTTGGGTGTGTCTTACAATAGAGGGCCCCAAAGATTGTTATTATCCTGTTGGCGTCGCTTTAAACCAGCCTCGACAAGGGTACCATCTCCAAACAAAAACAAGACACCCCTGCATCTGTTGGTTTAGTCATCTTGGGTGAAAGATGGCAAATTCAATTCCAACCCATACTTCTTGGTCTAGTCATCCCCTGTAGGAAATCGCTTGGCCCATGGCTAAGTCACCCCAAAACACTTCAAGCTCGCCTTGTAGAGGACCTCCTGCTCCGCCAGCAACTTGTCGTACCTCGTGAAGCCAACCGCCATGACTCGGTTGCGAAATCTGCTCCCCTGCCAAAAATTTAACTGTTGGTGGTTTAATCGAAAACCCACTAGTTGGCAAAAAGTTAAAGTCCTAACATCCAAGCAAAATGGACCAAAGATGAAATCATGGAGCGTGTCTCATCTGAACCGTGGCCTTTGGTTTCCACCCCAAACCGAAGCTGTGCCAACAAACACAGAAGATGGGTGTGTCTTTTTTGCCTCCAAACGGGGGGTTCCCCGACAAGATGTAGGGAAAACACGGGAAACACAACACCTTTCATAGAGAAACACAATATGAGCTCTTCCCACATGACTTTTTGACTTGGAAGAGGACTCAAGTGTCGATTGTAAGGATACCCCTTCCTTGTGGTGCAGGGAAGCCAAGAGGAGAGCCCACTATTCTGGAGACACACTTTTAAAAAAAAGGGGGAAAACAAAACACCAGTGGTATCCTCTTCAAGTCCAGAAACCCGGAAACTCACTCCATTTGGTTGAGTCCCCTGGAGAAACTCGAGAAACATATTTGTCCGGGCGTGATGGAGCCCTTTGAAAACTGGATAAAATAAAATAAAAAATGATAAAAAAAAGAAACACAAACATCTCTGGACTTGTCTCAAAATGGACCCTCAAAGTTCAGCAGTGTTCCAGGTGTTCCCCTTCAAAGGGGGGACCAATGGAAAGGAAAAAATGGAAGGGACAACTTGCTGGCGCTCAGTAGGGTTTTTTTTTGGGGGGTTCATTCCAACTCATTCTTTCCTGAGAATCAGCTAGAAAATCCCACAAACCAGTTCAGTCATGCTCAATTTTGACAGCTTTCCATTCACCACCATGCCATAACGACTTGGTTGCCGTTGGAAGGGGAGCAAAAATTTAAACACTAGCAGTTAAGTGGGGATTTCCCTCTAAACCACAATAAGCAAAGATGTAAAATGTTTCCCAGCGACAACCATGAAGAGGGTACCCCCCCCCCCCGAAAGGAAAAGAAAGAAGAGAGACGTAGACCTAAAATGACCCAAATACAACGGGAAAAAACCTTCCACCTCCTTTTGGGCCTTAGTCCCCGGCTTCTTCTGGAACTCCGTGACCTCTTCCCCCAGGCTGCTGCGGAGCTGCCGCTCCCGCGCCAGCTCCTGGCCACCAAAACCCCAGTGACTGACCGGATGTTGAAGCGTAGGTGTATCCCTGGTTTTAGTGGGGATTTATCAGTTTTGGAGGGGAACACCCCCATATTAATAAACAGGGGTTTATTAATACGGGGTCAACATTATAGGGGTGTATCTTAATGGAAAATGGTCAATAAGGGTATATGGCATATGGAACCCCTAGAATGATGGCTTTCCCATTTGAAATCCAAGGGTCCCTTAAAACAGACACATAAGACTGATTGACTCAAGAACTCACGATCCAGTGGATTGGCCGGAAAAAGTCGTAACACGTTTTTTGTTTACCATGCCCAAAAAAAAAAAGCGACTAAAGTCCGAAACGGAACTCAGGGAGGGAGAGAAGGGTGATAAGATGGTAAGATGCTTGAGGTTTAAACAAACATATTTTAACTGGTCCTATGCCAAGGCAGAACCTACTAAAATATATGACCAAGATGGTTGTTCAGTTTGTGGCGAATCAGTAAGCGTCAAAGGAGGGGGACCTAGAGGAGAAGAACATCGTCGCCAAACATCCTCGCCAAAGCTTGAGTTGGATGTGATCTTCTGCAGAGCCAAGTGAGCAAAGTCGTATTGCTTGGGCGAACGAATCGCGCATATGCCGTGAACAACCAATCAAAACCATCAATCGCATGCGTGACGCGACATCCTTGGACCATTTATAAAAGAAATCCATGGTGCCCAATCTTGCCGCGCGCCGCCACGTCTTTTTGTGATCTCTCAATCTGCAAGAATGTACCGCGGCCCCTTGCAAACAACACATCATGATCTGAGCCACGAACGAAACATGCAAATGCTGAATGGGTTCGCCCGCCCTGTCGTAAGAGAAGTTCATTAGTACATCCCCCAATGCCTCAGCCCAAATTGACCGGCAAAACCGCACATGTTGTCCCAAACTACACCGAAAACCCTGGCTCACTTTGTGGATCGCGGGGAAACCTCACGGTTGAGCCAACTTAGTGAAACACGGCTACTCGGTCCTCCAGTAGAGAGGTTAGAACAAGGGTACCCTTTTTTCTGTAGTCAATTATTGTAGTAGGGGAACCCTCCCCCAAAAAAGAAACGGTAACGCGGTAAAAGGGTACTGGGAAACCTAGGCTATACCAAGGCATCTTCCAACACAGCTCCCGGCTCCCGGATCCGCTCCGGGAGTGTTTTGTCCGGCCTCGAGCGCTTCGACGACTTGGCAGTAGAGGGAGCACACCTCGCGGCCCCGAAAACCGGCGGCCGTAAGCCCGCACCAGCCATAGCACCAGTGGCTTCCTCTTGGAGAATAGCGACGTCCAGCGGTTTTTTTTGCAGTGACTTCCAGTCGATTTCCGGTGGAGTTGCTCAGTCGATTTTAAGGGGAACCCTCCAGGCAACTGGAATGCGTGAAGCTCGGCCCATAAGAGAGGGTACACTGAAAATATGATGCTCAGATTCTGCTTCATATTTAGTCTACCCAACACTACAAAACAGCCTTGGAGGTGCCCTGAACACTGGGATGAGCCTACCAACTGCAGGCCTTTCTCCATTCACTGGTGCTTGAAACACCCAGCCATCGCCCAATCCAGCCGCCGCCGCTCAGCTTGCACTCCCGGCCGGCCCACCCCCACGTCTTTCGCCCCAGCCCTGACCGCCCCGAGCCGCGGCGCCGTCTCCGGCGAGCCGTCGGCCAGTTCCGGAGGCCTCGGCCGAAGGCGGCCACCGCCTTTGGGATTCTGGGGATGGAAGGGGGGGATACTGTGGATTGGCCCAAGGACATCCATTTCGCACCGCTCAGAAACCCTCAGAAATCAACCGTGGTTTCAAGGCAAAGTATGCTCCAAATGTCCATGGGAGGTACCCCATGCCATAAGGGACCTCCAATACTAAGTCCAAGCCATAACAAGGGTCCTTATTGGCCAGCAGTCACTACTAGTCACTGATAGTCACTATTAGCTGCAATGGCTCCTTGCTATGGCTCTGAATCAGCAAAGCCAAAAGCGGCTTCAAGGTGTGGGGGCGGTAAGGCATAGATTCTGAAGGACTTGCAAATAGTTTGGTCAAAGTGATCTGCAACTCTGTTGCTTGCTTTAGCTTCCCTCTGATTGGTGGTCTGAATTGGCGGTTTTGGTGGTTAAGGGGTGGTTTCCCATTTCCCCTCTACAAAAGCCGGGGTCACCCTTGCGTGGGTCAACCTTGCGTGAGCATGCGGTTTCCTTTGCACGACGGGATGACTAAACCTGAAACGGGTTGGAATTGAATTCGCATCTTTCACCCAGGATGACTAAACCAACAGATACCGGTGCGCCAAGGGTTCCACGCGTTGTTCCATGTGCTGTTGGGGATATCACCTGAGCTTATTACCATATTTCCAACACCTAGGGATCTGCAGGTAAAGGATCCTTACCTTTGTGTTTTACCCCCAAATCAGTGAGCTCGCCGTGTGCAGAAACGCTCGTCCGTCCAGTCGGATGAGTCCAGGTCCCCGGCAGCTGCAGTGCCGCCTGTAGCAACGAGGACCAGGCCAACGGCTGCATCCCCGGGATCTTGGGCAGCACCTCGAGCGCGGCGAGCGCACGCAGTAAGCGCACGAAGCGCTCGAGAAAACATGGACCTTTTTTCTTTTTTTGGCGGGCCTTCATATAGGAATCGGAACGAGCACCCAAAACTTGGATTTCGGCTTTCCAGTTGTTCTTTAAACACCAACAAAAAGGACGCCGGGCCGCAAAGAAAAGGCACACTCACGTGGGAAACCCGTATGGGTTCGGGGTCTTATGGGGAGTTTGGATCTCTTTCTTTGGACCCAAAACTGGTCGCCGAAGTGAGGATTCACGTACCACTTCTGAGGGGTTTCCCTGTTGAAATGTGTTGCCATGTGTCCACTGGAGGAGGAGGGAGTGATAGAACTATTCCGTCTTTCGGAATATCCCAATCAGCCTGGCTGGAGAAGACATCTGATTTGACATGACAAGATCACTCGACTACGCAGTTGAATGACTTTTCGCTGGATGCCATCAACCAGTGGTCATGTCCCGCCCTGTCGATGCGTTTTGCTTTCTTTTTCCAGGGGTGCTCAGAACTCATAGGTTGAGCGCTCCATCCGAGAATACTTGTGGGGATGAACACACTTACACATCAGCATCCAGCGCGGGAAACACCGTGCCCTCGAAACCTCCTAGCCGAGGAACCTGCAAGCCTAAAAGCCGATCCGACGGATACAACTCATGTGGGGGTTGATCAAAAGGTCCGCAACGCATGGGAACAGCTAGCCATTGTCATTTTGGGGCCGAAGGGAATACTGATCAACCCCCATGTAAGATATAAGAGTCGAACTCTGTGGTTGGTCTCCTGTTGGTTTTCGCCTCAATGCAAGCTGAGAAGGAAGCCCCCAAAAAGAAAGCAGCATCTCCCCAGCAAAATGTAGAGGTTGATTCCGCATACCTTTCAACCATCTTTCTTTTCAAAACGTAGTGATTTCCCCTGAGGTTGTCTGACGGGTGCTTGGAAGTTACCCTCATGACGCCACGCAATCAGGGTGCAACTCGCTCATTCTCCCTGCCTCCCGTGACCTCTCTATGGACTCCCCTACTCTTAAACCAATATTGTCAGGGGGTCATGTGATGTACCGGTATAGCCACTATACCTTGCTTTCCAGGGGGGGGCAGTGGATTGAAACTAGTGGACACCCCATGGAAAAAATGACACACATGGTTCTTTTCCCATCCTCCCTGGGGTGACAGGTGGTTTGGGGGTAGTGGAAACCATCTTGGAAGTCTCCGACATCATATCGTCCTATCGCCTCACCAAACAGCGCCACAGAAAAAGCAGAACTGGATTTCGACGCACCCGTTTTCGGGCCATAGGCTCCAAGTTTTGAGTCCAAGTGCCTGGCGTAGCCGGACCATTTCATTTGGGACAACACTCTCGGTTCTCCATGCTCAGTACATCCAGAGTCTGAACCAAAAAGATCCATGTGGTCTGTCTGTTTGGGCAAAACAAACAGCTTAGCTGCTGTTGACCGCACCCAGCATATGAGTGTGTCTTTTGTGGAGGGCACCCCATGTTTGTGGTTCTAAAAAAAAGAACCAAAAGGACAACCACCATGTTAAGGGAGAACAACAAACACACACCCCAAACAAATGGGAGACAACCCCATGTCTTATGAGCGTAAACACGCCAGGCCACCGCAGGCACGGCCAGGCCGAAGTGGGCGCCTGCGGCAAATTGATGTTGCGTTTGTTCTTCCAACTTACCCCCCTGAGTATTCTGAGTAATCCCGACTGATTCCAACTGATTCCAACTTATCGAGTTATCTCGGGCATCTCAGATTACAAAGGACCCCCCCTGAGTCCGGATATACCTTCTTCGCAGCGAAAAGGGAGTGGGGCCCAAAAAGCGGCGAAGCGCCTGCTCTTTTCAGTTCCTGGGGCCTCAAAAGACTGCCGTTTTTTGGTCGCAGTTCGAAAGACCATTTTTTTGGTCGTGCGACAAAAAAATGGTCGTGGTATGAAAAAACCCTTGTCCACAAAATGTCCTACTTGGCATGAACTCGTGATACATGCATATAATATATACATCGACCCGGCATGCGTTAGAAACAGCTACGGCGGGCCTTTGCAGGCCTGTGTTTGCATGAGTGTGCGCCTGAGTGAGTGCATGCATGGGTGATGAGCGCTCAAGTGTGTGGTTGTGTGGGTGAAGGCCCATGGGCCTGCGAAGGCCCTAAAGGTCTGTGGGCCTGCGAAGGCCCCGAGGCTTGTGCCCTGTGAAGGCCCCAAGGCCTATGAAGGCCAAAGGAGTGTAGCATAGTTGTTTTGTACTATTAGACTCATGGGCCTGCAAAGCTTGCGCACCACGAGCCCTCGGAGTGCAATTGTGTCATGTTTTGGCGCCTTTTTCCTTGATCCCTTCAACTCCGTGAGAACAGCACACTGCCATCTTTGCAGCACCCTAAGCGGTACAACGCGGCTGCTAGTACGCCTAGAAATCCTAGCCACCCGACCCACGAAGTCTTCATCTTGGGGTGTAGCATCATTCAGTAAATTCCACGCGAAGCCTTTTGCTTGCGCGTGGGAACCCATTACTATAATTGCATGGTGATAACAATGCAGCTTTGGAATCAGATTGTACAACAAAACATGCTGATCCAGCGCCCAAACTGCAAGCTTTTGGTACGCAACGCAAAATGATTGTCCCAGCATAGCTGCCCTTGAGGCCTTTTCGCCATCCAGAAAATACCCCGACGAGTGCAGAATTGACATGAACTCATTCATCCAGCTAGCTGCATTTCTCATCAATTGAAGCTCTTGCTTCTTGTTCACGAGCGGCGCCCACTTGTCTTGTTTCAAAAGCCAGTGCACGAATTTCATTAGCGTTGCTGAATCTTGCCCTTTATTCCAGCCGCCTGAAGCGTATTCTTTAGCATTGTATCCCAGCAAACTGAGGGTGAGCTCCTGGCAATGTAGATTCACCCTGTGCTGCCGGAGAAAAATATGCAAGTCCCGATTCATTTGGGTCAGTTGCGCATTCATGGCTCCATCATAGTGCCCGAGGATGTGAACAAGGCTGGAAGCAACGTACTCCTTGTGGACCCCTGCCAAGCAGATGTGGAACAAATCTAACTTGAAAAAGGATGCTATGTGAGCAGCATCACTTCCAAGAGTTTGCACAATGCGACTAGGCGTAGTCCAGGGCTGTGGGTCAGAACCAATTGTACTAATCCAAGGTGCTGTTGGCGACAAGTCTTCAAAATCATAGTTGGGAGTGCCGGCTAAACAAAGCCAGCACATTCCTGCCAAAGGCTTTGAATTTGCTTTTTCGAACTCGGCCAAACGATCTCTTGAAGCCCGCGATCTTTGTGATGTAGGGAAGGTCCCCTTTCATCCCCACGGTAGCAAAGCGGAATGTGATGCCACTTTGGGAGGTGTAGCCTTTGTCGTACAGCACGCGTAGCTCTTCAGCAAACTTGCGTGCCAGTTTCAGCAATACCTTTGCGTTCTTCTTGAAGAAAGCCTTTGGCATAACTGCGAACAAAACCGAGTGCAAAAGCTATGCCCCAAAAAATTCAAAGGTAAATCCACCTTCTCAGCGGGAGCTGCCCTTGTTCCGGCTCCGAGGATGGGCTGATACTGCAAAATCATGACTTCAGTTTTGCGGTACCCACGTCCACCATCTCCATGCATTTGGAGAGGTACCAAGTATTTGGGGTCAACCTTGCCAGAGTTGATATCAGCACAGACGTCATGTTGAGGGTAAAGTGCGGCAAAGCGTTCCCAGAACATAGAAAGCATTGTAGTGCAACTTGCTTCCCCCGCACCCATGCAAGCGTTGATGTACCCATGACTATCAAGCGCGCTGATGACATCCAGGGGCCTTATAAACGGGTAGCTTCGAAGTTGACCAGCTTGCCCCAGCTCAACGCGGCAAATCGGCGCTCCCAATGATTTCTGGTGCTTGGCCAGCGTTTTGATCACATGTTGTTCAGCATCTTTTAGCCTTCCCTTCGCCAGCTCTTGCAAACAAATATCTGTTGCAGCGTACTCCTCTACATCGAGTAAAGCGCTTTCCACCACATCACAGGCTGGCACCTTCAAGTGTTTTGCTGCGTTCCCCGAATCTTATCATTGCACTCCAGGACTTAGGCCCAAGCTCCCTTAGCCAATTGCTTGGCCAAGTGGTCCGCTCTGCGGCTGCCAGACGGCGCATTGACGGTTTCACCTGGCTTGTCAAGCCCGCAAGCTGGAAAATCCAAACAGCCTTATGGCACCGCTGGCTGGTGAGCTAAGCAATTGTGTGTTGCCTGTTTTCTCCCTCGCGTGTCTGCAGGGATAAGCCAGCTTGCCAGTGGCAATTCAGACGCACCACCCCGGCCAGTGCAGGTATTCCCGCACAGGAATCTAAATTGCTGTGTCACAGCATGGACAACATGGCCCAACAAAGGATTGTGCCCCTTGCGTGTTCAATTGAAATAGTCCGCTCCTAACTGGCTCAACTGCCACATGACTGCGCCCAGGGCAAATGAAGTTTGTCAGGCCACCTAAGTTGCCATTGCACCCTAATGAGGGAGATCATTCCCATCAAATCAGCCAGGCTTCAAACATGCACAAGTGTAGACTCACGTTCTGGCAGATCGCAATTAAGGGTCGTAGTGCTTTTTTTTGGGAATGATCTTACCTCAATCCCCCTTGCATTTCCTCTGCCTGGTTTTCGGCGTAGGGTTCTGCTTTGCCTTCATGGCCTTTGGCTTAGGCTTGGGCGAGCCCTCAGCGGTCTCCTTTTTCACCTTCTTGAACTTCCTGCAAGGTTGAGTTTGCAAAGGGACAGCGCAGGGTTGACAGCAAGCAAGTCCTGTTCTTGGCCTCCAAGGAGATAGCGAGGGCTGCCCTGGGCTGCATGAACGATGGCACTTCGGCAAAGCCTGGCCCTAAGAAGGTCAACGAAATGAGGTTAAGATCAGTTAAGATCCAAACTGACGACGCACTGTTTGCATGACTTCTTCAAGCTGCTCCGGCCTGAAGCTCGTGCGCATGGTGAACCACTTGTCGCATCAACGCAACGTATCGCAACAACATTGATCCTTGCCACCGGGCAGCCTTTTGCCAACCTTGATGTCAGCAGCCTGCTCGGCAAGCTGGTCATACAGGGTGCCCAGCTTCTCTTCCACCTCTTCCATTTTGCAAAGCTCCCTAAGACGCAGGTCATGCGTGATACGTTGTTCTGCACCATGTGTATGCGCGCTTATACGGCCTGCACGGTTTGAGCGCTGGAGCATCATGGTCCAGTTTGTCAATGGCGTTGCGTAGCTTCTCGCGGGAAGCGAGGCACTCATCCATGTACTTTTTGACAGTGTCCTGGCGCGTGCCATTGAAAGGGCGCCGGCGTTACAAACGTGGTACGCAAGCTGCCATGTTTACAAGGTCCTCTGGCAAAGATCCTTTGGGCCCTTCCAAGGAACAAAGTCCAGAGCCATTGTGCTTGAAGGATGTGTCCATGGACCCAGGGATGGAAGCTGTGGATGCTTGGCCCTGACCGCTGACCGAAGTTGTTCGGTCTCGCTCTCCCCCTTCACCCCCGAAGTTCTGACGTCCACCCAATACTCAATGACCTCTTCATCATACTTGTTCCGCCTTGGGTCGCGACGAAAAAATCAAAGCGTGGGGGGGGGGGCTTTTTCAAACACCTGAGCCCTATGTATGCTTTATAATCATGCATCAAAACAGCAAAGATTCGAGGCTTTAGTGTAGCGTTTACAGGCCTTCGGCCTTCACAAGCTAGGGCCTTCGCAGGCCCTGCCGGCAAACCTATCAGGCCTTGAAAGGCCCAGACGTTGAGGGGCCCTTTGAAAGGCCTTTGCAGGGCCTTCACAGGCCCAGGCCAAGGGCAAGGGCCTTTGCAGGCCCTGGCCCAGGCCTTCACAGCCCACCAAGGGCCTTGCAGGCCCTGGCCCAAACAATGAAGGTTTTTTTACAGGCCCAGGCCAAGGGCCTTTGCAGGCTCTGGCCCAACACTGTTTGTGAAG